GCTGGTCAGCCCCTGCCAGTGGGTGGGTATGTGCCAGGGCCCTTCAGTCACAAGGCACCCATCTTTCTGTGCCGGGTCCTAGACGGGAATGGCTGCACCTGCTCCCCCTTCCCCTCCTCTCCCCTTCACCCCCCTCGCCTCCCGCCTCTGTACCTCAGCAGCTCCACTTCATAGCGGGTGTTTTCTGACAGATTCTGGATGGGCGTCCAGTGGAGGATGTGGCGGAAAAACTCTGCTTCGAACCACACGGATGGAGGGCTGGGCAGCGCTGTCCCTGGGGAGGAGGGTCAGTTTCAGGGCTGGCAGGGGCCCGGGATGAAGATGCTGAGGGGGAGGGGAGCGAGCTTTTTAGCAGCTCCCGTATGGCGTTCCTTATTGTGAGCCAAGTACTCTACATATACTGTCTCACTTCATGATCACAACAGCCACAAGGCAGGCATTGATCACCCCGTTTCCTGGGGAGGAAATGAAAGCTCAGAGGGGCTGAGTGACTTGCCCAAGGCAACAGGGCAAGTCAGGGGAAGAGCAGGGCCCTGGGTGCAGGTGTCAGGCCCTTAAATCAGAGTCCTGTGCCGGCTGGTCAGAAGCAGAAGTGGTGGCTGAGAAGAGCCAGGCTGGGTGCAATGCATCCTGGGGAGGCGGCAGGGCTGTGGGCCTCGGCATGTCCACAGTGAGGTCTGGATGAGCTAGCCCCTGGCTCTGCCCACCCCTGCCCCTGCTCCAGCCCCATTCCACGGCCTGCCCTCCAGCCTCAGACCTGGTCCCTGCTCTGGCCCAGCCCTGGCTCCGGCCCCTGGCCTTCTCTCTGGCGTCTCTGGGCCCACAGATACCTGCTTGTGGGCAGCTGCCCGTTTCTCTTCACAGGTCTGCTGGGCAGCCCCAGGCTGAGGGCGTGCCCCCTGCCCCCGCTTCTATAACCAGATGCCCAGCCTCAGGTTGGGTGAGAACAGACAGAAGGCAGCTGCCCTTTCCACAAAGCGCTGATACCCTTGGCTCTAAGGGAGACACTGAAGACCAGTCCGCTCCCTCTCCTGTCTCCCTCCCCCGCCCTTCACCGCGGGGCGGGGGGGGGGGGGGGGGGGGGCCAGTGTGACTGAGCGAGTTATCAGACCTCACCTAACCCACTCTCGCATGGGCAAGAGGGCAACACATATACCGACACTGAGATCTTGTCCATCGAGCGCCATGAAACAGCTCAAGGCCGATCTCCACACTCAGCTCCCCTTCCCTCCTCCAGGACCCTCCTGCCTCTCGTCTGTCAGGGACCCTCTCAGGCTCCCCCGCCTCTGACTACCTCTCTCTAATAACGCTTCCTTCTTCTAGCTGTCATGCTGACTTAGAAGTCTGCCTGTCCCTTGCTGGCTTTCTTATATTGTCTTTGATCTTCAAGTCTGTGTCTCGATTTCAAAACGTTAGATGGAAAGTGAGAGGCGCAGCAGGTCTTTGAGCTCCTGGTCATGTGAGCGGCTGCGTGTTCTCGGTCCCTCTGCCCTGGTCCCTGCACCTCCCAGCCTTTCATGCTCTCTCTCCAGGGTTAGTTGCTCTTCTTGCTGCAGAAACTCTGCAGGTCAGCCGCTGGTTAGGAGCCGGAGCTGAGGGGGAGGAGCGGGAGGCAGGGGCCAGGGCGGGTGCCTCAGGGGCTAAAGAAGGAGCAGGGTGACCAGAGGGGGTGGCAGGTGTCCCGGAGGGAAAGGCTGGGGTAGGTTAGCTGGAGGGCGGAGGGAAGGTAGGCAGATGGCAATCGGGTAATTCCCACGGGGACAGGGTCCAGTCCTTTGAACTAGAGCAACAAGAAAGCCAGGGGCACTGCTGGCGGCAGGTGGGTGGGCGATGCCTTGAGGAAGGGGGTCATTCAGCTCTCCCCCCGCCCCCCAAGCAACCCCAGCTTCTTCCACTTCCCTAAGAGTGACCCTCCCCAGGCCAGGCTCCCCAGAATGAGGGATCCGGGAGGGGCCAGATGATGGACTCCGCTCTCTCCAGAGGCCAAGCAGAGGGGTTCTCCGTGGGACACTGAACTTCCACGTAGGGGTGAGGACGGTGGGGGGCGGGCTTGGCCACCCATACAGCGCACCCGGCGGCCAGGGCAGGGCAGGGCCGTCCTTACCTTGCGAAAAGGTAAAAACCCACACGAGCCTCCCTAGGCCGGGTTCTTCTTCCCCTTCCTGCCTCCCCACTTTCATTTTGCAGATGGCCACGCACAGACAGGCCAAGTCAGAGCTCCCAGGTACCTCGGCGGCACTCGCGCGCTCTCTCTCTCCCGCACCCCCTTCCAAAAAGGCCATCCCCGAACCCATCCCCGAACCGGGAGAGCAGCCTCGGGTCAGAGCTCAGTGAAGCTCTACGTGCCTCCAAAGGCACACCCCGGATCTGCTGCTTTTAAGAAAACCGGGCTCCTGGCACAGCGCGCGCGCGCGTGTGCGTGTGCGTGTGTGTGTGTGTGTGTGTGTGTGTGTGTGTGTGTTGGGGGTGCAACTGGCGAGGGGCAGCCTTGCCCCTTTGGGTGCGGAGGGCGGGGATGTGGTTGAGCTGAAGGTGGGATGGGGAGGGCTGCAGCCGCTGGGAGTTGGGGGTGACTGTCCCGGGCGCTCAGGGTGGCCTGGGAGGACCTGTGAGTCTTGAGTGCCTGGGGTGGCGCTGGTAGAGTAGGAGTCCTCTACCTGACTGACTGTTTTTGGAGGGGCCCCCAGCCTCTTCTGGTTTCTCTTGCCTGAAACCTCATGGTTAGAGTTTTGTGTGTTTCCCCTGGGGTGGCTGGGTGACAGCTCCCCGAGGCAGACACAGCACCAGCCACTCAGCCCTGTGCCACTTGACTCACCTGAGGCCGCACCCCAGAGGCACAGAGCTGCTGGGTGCGGGACAAACATGGTCCCTTTCACTTTCGCTTCAGAGGGTGTCCATGCAGAGGGTGGCGGTGTCCCCAGCTGCGTCTGAGGATGACTTTGGGACCAGAAAGACCTTACTTTTGGATGAAGGTCGGATCCCCCAGCTGCATGGATAGTAGAGAGGTAGATGCAGGTCCAACAGGACACACGGTCAGGTCAGCCGGGACCCCTAAGTGCCGCCAGGCCCTCCAGCAGCGGCGGGGAAGGGTGCGGGGTTGAATGTGAGGAATGGTTTTGCACCCGCTGTTGCTCAGCTGAGAGATGGAGCGTGGCCAATTGCTCGGACGTGCCCAGGCGTGGCCAAGGGTGTGGCTGCTTTCAGAAATGACTTTTTAGTTCCCGGGAACCTTTTTTTTAAAAAAAAAATATTTTTATTGATTTCAAAGAGGAAGGGAGAGGGAGAGAGATAGAAACATCCATGATGAGAGAGAATCATTGATTGGCTGCCTCCTGCACGCCCCACACTGGGGATCGAGCCCACAACCCGTGACCTCCTGGTTCATAGGTCAACCCTCAACCCCTTAACCAGCCGGGCCCCAGTGACCTTTTGAAGGAATACACTGTACTGTTTCTTTCCGAACTTGTCTTTACTTTTGGTTTTTATTGTTGAGCTGTAAGAGTTTAAAAGTCGCACCCCATTACATTTTAAAAAAGGATTGCCCACATCCATTTTTCTTTCACTCACATGGCAAATATCGCGGCCCACTCATGATGGGCTAGAGCTAGACCCTGCTGCGAGGCTGCGACAAAATGATGATCTGAACAAGGCCCTGCCCCGAGAGATGGACACTCTATCGAGGGGCAGAGGTGAGCGGAGACTTGATGTTGTGCTGAGCGCTCTGGGGAGGGAAGTAGAGGCTACTGTGGGGCACAGGGACAAGCGCTCGGCCACTGGGGGTGGAGGACCAAGAGGGCTCCCTCCCGGAGGAGGTGGCCTCCGCGCTGGGGCATGAGGGGTGAGGAGGGGGAACTTGGAAAAGAGCAGGTGGAGAGGGTGCTCCGACAGCAGGAAGGGTGCTTGGAGCCGAGGGAGCGTGGCGTTTTGAAGATCTCTGGAGAGTGGCTAGGCTAGCATTGCCGTGTTAAGACGAGACCACCCCCTGGCTGACATGGGTTCGTGTTTTGCTCAGAGCAGAGCCAGCAGCTGAATGTGGGCAATGTCAGTGTGTCCTGCCACCTCCTGGGAGGCACCCCCAGCAGGAGTGACGTCAGACACAGTGCCATATCTTGTTTTGCCAATTCCATTTTGGCTTGTGTCAGCTATTCATCTCAGTGGAAAGTCTACCCTCTGGCTCTGGGCTATCTGGTATATTCATACCAGTATCAGGACAGATCATAGGAAATGATTATAATAGTATATTTTGTTGACTGAGCTCTTACTGTGTATCCTGTAGGACCCTAACCACTAAATTATGTAGCAGAGACTGGCTAGAGGCTTAGCAACCTCACTTCCTCTTCTTGGGTGAACAGGGCACCAAGTTTCCTAGCTTCTCCTGCAATTACATTGGATAAATGACTGGGTTTTAACCAACAGGAAGTGAAATTAAGGCATACCACTTCCTGGTCTGGTCTCTTTGTCTTTGCTATTCTGTCCACCAGGTGGAAGGGCCCAGTAGAGGACCCAAAGGGGAAGAAAAGAGCTTGGGTCCCCGAATCACCTCCTGGAGGGAGCATGCAGGAAAGGCACCCACACTATGTCGGCCTGTGACCTGAGTGAGGAGTGAACTCTTGTATCTAGAGTCTGGACTTGTTGTTACAGCAGCTAGTGTTAACTGCCCTGACTAATGCACCAGCATTGTCTCACTTAATCCTTATGACCACCGTGCAAGCTTGGCATCATCATCAGGGTTTTACAGATGGAAAGTCAGAGATTATGTCACTGGTCTGCGTCACTCAGCCAGTGAGGAGCGGAGCTAAGACAACAGTCCAGGTCTGACTCCAGAGCTCACACTTTTACCACAATATTATCAATGCCCTTCCCAGTCTTGGAAGAATTCTTGGAAAAGGCAAGTGTCTAGTGAGTTGACAGAGAGAAAGAAAGAGTGAGGGCCAGGGAGGAGAAACAGCTCCGGGCTGGTAAAGGGAACGTGGTGAGCCCAGGAAACCTGTGGGGAGACCTGGGGAGACAGACATCTTGCCCCCATGGCCGAACAGGGAAATTTTTAGGGCAAATTTTGAGGTTGAGATGGTTCCATTGTCTCATTTTCACTTACTTCATCTTGGTCTTCAGGATGCTGCCCCTAGACGGGCCTCCCTGGAGGTGGGGGCATCGGGGGAGGAAGGCCTGCTAGGGTGTGAGCCGAGGCCCAGCTTGCAGTTTCTATCCCTGTCCTGTGACTAGGGAGTTCCAGACCATGTGATCGCTGTGTCAGAGCTGCACACACAGGGAACGCTCCGGAAGGGAACAGAGAGGAGGAAGCTGCCCGGGACACTTGGAGAGTCACAGGTGTGAGAGGAAGGAGTCACCAGGCTAGCCCCAGCCCCAGGGGCTGCTGCTGCAGAACCTAGTTCGTATCTACTCCCTCCACAGTCTGCCTGACCCCCCTCTCCCCCCAACTGCACACAAAGCACTCAGAAGGGACAGAACCCCTCCTGGATGCCCCTCTCCACTCTGTGTCAATGGTGACTTGGGCTTGAGTAGGGACGTGTTTGAATGTTAGCTTGGTGGGTGCAGCATCCCTGAGGGTTGGAGTAGGAGAAGGCCATGGCAGACTTGCATTTTTTTATTTTTAAATATATTTTTATTGATTTCAGAGAGGAAGGGAGAGGGAGAGAGAGAGATAGAAACATCAATGATGAGAGAGAATCATTGATCAGCTGCCTCCTGCACACAACCCGGACATGTGCCCTGACTGGAATCGAACCTGGGACCCTTTAGTCCGCAGGCCGACGCTGTATCCACTGAACCAAACCGGTTAGGGCCAGACCTGCATTTTAAATAGTAGAGGAAACCCAGAGCATGGAGGTGACCAGCCAGGGCGGCTGAGCTAGTGAGCGGTGGAATCAAAACCTCGCACACCTGATGGAAGTGCAGCTCTCACCTGACCCACCCAGCTAAGCCTGTGGAACCACGAAGTCGGAGGGCATCCTGCCATCGGCCTAGAGGTGAGGGGAGAAAACGGGTTTCCCAGGTGAGGGGCCGTCCCGCGAATTCCCTGAGCCAGCACACCTGGGCTCGCAGCTTCTCTCCCATGGGCTGCCCGGGCCTCTGCTCGATGCTCGGTCATGGCCAAGGTTCACAAGCTGCTGGGAGGAGCCTGTGGCTCTCAGCAACAGGGGCCCTAGTCTAGCCCAG